ACTCGTTATTTTATGTTATTATATATTATACTCTCAGTATTTTAGATAATATTTACATTGCGCGCGCGCGCGCGCCCGTTTTACGTTGTGCTCCTATGATACGCATTGATTTAAGTTTTAATTATATTTCATTATATACGCGAAATAATGATTAGCTATGTATGCACAGTATGTAGATATTTTTAGACATTAATGAGTACAGCACACGCCACGCGGTCCTGTATTCGCTCACTTTTAATTGATACGCCGCAAAACTTATACAAACTATTTGCAGTACATGCAAGCATTTGTAGTCCACTTTTTGAAGTTTACATTTCTCGTACCTCATGTTAGATACAAGACAAGATCATCGCGCTTTTGACAAGTCATTGGTCCGTCTCTTTCTGAAGAAATATGCAGCGAAAATAAACTTATTAATTTAATCTGCGAGACTGAAGTCGAAAGAGAACAACATTATTCCTCCCAATCATCATCGAGGAATTTATCATTGCGCACAATGGAGATAATTCCATTAGATAGTGAAAGGCTATTAATTTGGTTGTTTCTCAACTCCTGTTGCGCAGTCTTATATAATATTATTGCGCAATTATATTTGCACGACCGCGATATTAGCGGTTCATCGCTCTCCTAATGTGAAACACGTGGTTAGCCTCGGTTAAGAAATCCTGTTGCAAATTCTACGTGCTCAGCGGTTTTTAACCTATGACCTGCGACATTATATAACCCAGGAAAAATCTTATGCTGTTTTATAGCTTCTCACTTTATTTTTTCCTTACTAATAATTTTTTTTTTTGTATAAAAATCAAATTTCACGTCGCATGGAATAATTTCATTTAATCGAATAAGTTAAGAGAGGACGTCTTTATCACATAAAATGACTAATTTATTCGGAAGAGATCCAATATTAAATTTCTAATATGAATGTTTCGTTGACATTTAATAATTATAATAAACTTAACGTCGGAATAATAAATAAGCTATTTTTGACTTTGTAATTTCTTCGTCGACGAAGAATGTAGCAATTTTATTACCTATATTTTATCTCTCGATTACGTAATGATTTATCGAGTCTATACGGATTTGCGATAATTTCATTAGTCTTTACCTGAGTCTTTAGCTAGTGAAATAAATTTGTATTTATATATCCATTTAAGGAGAATTTTATAGCAATAATTTATCGTATCGTATATATAAATTCATTTGCTTATTGTGTGATATTAATAAATTGAAAGGAAATGACTCATGACTGTAATCGGTAACTTTTCGCATATATAATGATATATGTAACTGTACATAGAGATATCGAAGAGGTAGCATATTTATAAACTGAATAAAGCCTATTGAATACTTTCATCATGCTGCTACGTAGCAATTCTAATGTAATAAGACTACTCAGACCTAAAAAAGAAAAAGAGAATTTCGAGAAAAAATTATCGGTACAGAGAGTACTTGAAGAAGATTCATTACGCATTAATGAAAGAAAATTTTCTAACTTTCGGTAGTTTTTTTTTTTTTTAATTAATAGCCGCGCTAATCGATTATCCAGCATGTGTCTCATTGAACACGAACGTGAAAGTATCGACACACACTTAGCGTTCGCAGTGTCACAGTTCACTTTCTATAGCCACACTCCTTCCACATCTCACTGGTTTGCATCAGATCAAGTTGGAAAATTCGACTCAATTATAACTTTTACTTCCTGCTGTACATAAATTGCATAAGCATTTCGTCTATTGCAACCGATTGTCCCGATTTTCTTTTGAAGTTATCAACTACCCTCTATCTTGAAGTAAGAAATAATTGTAAGATCTCACTCTGTGAAGCGTACTATATTTAGAAACTGCTACATCACCGCTATAGACCTTCTACCGTCAAGCCTTAACGGAAAGATTATTACGAGGCGATATGCATACTACATTGTCACAGCCATACTGACATTACATAAATTTTTCCTGACATATTTCCGCGAATATATCCTTGCGAATCCGTCACGACAACACGCTTCTCCGTTGATCGTTGTGCAAAGGCAGCGAGTTGCTCACGAAATCCGGAAGAATCTCGCCTCGGATCATGCTTCGTTTCAAATAGTTGTAATGCCCAACACTTCAACAGCATCCTCGCGACTTCTTCATATTTTTGAAAGTCTTTTTTTCAGCGAGATATAAACCATGATTCGAATGATCACGAACCAGGCGAACAAGACGACGGCGTCTACCCAGAATATGGATTTGGACATACGTAGCTCTTCCAGTAATAACGATGGTATTCGGAAGTGACAATAATCATACTGACTCGGGCAAATTAACTTTTCTCGTTGAAAGCCGTAAATCGCCTGTACCAAACCGTCTACAGAGTATCTGAAGTAATTGATATAGCTAATGTAGTAAAGAAACTTCGGCATGTGATTAAAGAGAATCAGAAATCCAGCTAATGACAGCATCGCGCATGTGGTAATGGCTCCGAAGAAGGTGCCGTTAATGGGATTGAAGATTGCGCCTAGACCCAAGCCTATGCCTTCGGAGATGAAACTCGTCAGAGCGATGATGAGTAGAAACATGAAAAACCGATTCCATTCCATGGGTTGACTGGTTAGCACGTAGGAGACGGCCGAGTAAATAAAAGTGAAGAATATTTGCAGTGGTAGAGTAGTCACTAGCGTGGCTGCATAGTAGGTTCTCAATTGGTACCAATTGTTGAAGCGCTCTTTCTTCAAAATGGCCATCTCCAACGGAAACTTCAACACGGCCGGTATCATGCTGGTGTAGATGAAATACAACGAGGTGACAAGCAAGAAACCGACATTGTTGAGGGTCTTGTTGGCGTCCTTGCCGGCCTTCTCGAACAGCAAGCCTAACAGGACGGCCACGAGGAAGTGTAGGAGTAATTTGATGTGGCTCACCGACCAGTCTCGGTATATTATCAGGATGTAACGATATAGCAACACTTTGAATTTTATTAGTTCCGAAGGTGGGTCCAGCATCAGCTTCGTCTTCTCGTTGTAGAACGACGCTTCCCTCATGATGCGTACTTTCAGAGATGTCTCTTCTCTCTGACAGTACTCCTTGGCTGCCACGACCAACTGATTGCTGTAGTCCCCGTATTCCTGGTTGACCACCTCCAGCATGTAGTCCGCCGGGTTGTGATACTGAGGACACTGAAAGCCTAGTTGGGCGAAGTAGCTCACCGTGTCGTCGGGTGTACCGGCGTACATACATCGGCCGTCGACCACCAGGTAGATGTAGTCGAACATCTGGTAAAGCGCGGCGCTGGGCTGATGGATGGTGCAAATCACTGTTCGGCCGCTCTTTGCCAGAGTCTTCAACGCGACGATGCACTGCAGAGACGCCATCGAGTCCAGGCCGGTGGTCGGCTCGTCCAGGAACATTATCGGCGGATTGTCAATCAGTTCCAGGGCGATGCTCAGCCTCTTTTTCTGTCCCCCGCTCAGCCGGTCGACTTTCGTCTCCTTTACCTTCGTCAGCTTTAGCGTCTCCAAGATGTTATCGATCACTAGCTGCCTGAACATCTTCGTCGCGTTACTACCGATTTTCAAGTAGGTCGCCATCATCATGCTCTCCTGAACGGTGAACAGACCGTACAGATTGTCCGACTGTTGGATGTAGCACGATTGCTTCTTATACATGTCCCAGTTCTGCTTGCCCTCGCTACTGATATACTCGACCGTGCCCTGCAGCTGTCCCTGTTGAAATCCACTCAGAATGTTCAGTAGCGTGGACTTGCCGGCACCGGACGGCCCCATGATAGCCGTCAGTTCCGTGGATTTGAAAATTCCGTTCATACCCTTTAGAATCTGCTTCTTGGTCCCGCGATATTTGAACTTTGAAACCTGAACCTCGTACGACAGATCCTTGAATTGGATGTCGACCATTCGGGCCCGCGACATACACAGCGCGTTTGTTTCACGTCGTCTCGTCGACATCGCTTACAGATTTGATTTGACCTACTAAGAGAATCCTCCGCCCATTTATCTTCCGCGCTTTTAGTTTATCTCTTCACTCACACTTATCGGCTCTTGTCAGGACGACTGTAAAAAAGCTGTTTGTCTATCGTGTAGGTGGGGTGAATTATGTCTAACGCACGTAGTCTGAAAATTCAGCGGTCGCCGATTAATGCAGGCGCGTGATTGAAGTGTGGACGCAGCTAGACATTAAGCGAACCTGTTCTCAAAAAAATCTTGTTTCCTGTGAGCTTTATTTAACAATTAATAAATAGTATGTACAAAGGTGCAACTTGTCCGTAATTCTGTCTGAATTTTCACGCTTTTTAAAGAAAACGCAAAATATTTCTGTAAATATTTCGAAGTTATGAACGATTTATTTTAATATTCCATATCTCTTTTTTATCCGTGCAGTGTTCCTTTTATCCTATACTTAGATTGCGTATGATTTCACACTATCCGTTTCTTCGAACGATACTCATTTGGAACAAAGAAAACTTTTGCATTCGTTCGATGGTGCGTAATCTTTCTTCAACGATTTCCGCGGTCGCTAGCGATTATTGTGCCAAATGTTCCTTCGCGTCCCAATTTCCTCTTACGAGATTCTCTCCGTCTTTCGTTCACCTGCAACATAATCGTATTATTATGTTTACATTTGCATTAGAAAAGACTGATAATTTCCACAACACGAAATTTGGATGGCACTTGATGGCGCAGCAAAAACTGGCTAAGCGAATCGTAAAGTGACTGTTAATTTATTAAATAAGAAATAGCTAGCATGAATCGGTAATTTCGCAAGAGTTGATCGTTGCGTAAACATCGCGATACTTATCTCAGGATTGAAGAGCACCTGAAGATCGTCATTTATAAAATTACGAACATCCAGACATATACTTGTCGATTTTTACCGAAGCTTGTAAATGCAAGCTTTTACAGGAAGATTCCTATTTAGATTTGCTCAGAATTTTTATTTTATTATATTCTGTTTTGTACTAAGAGTAAAAATTGATACTTAAAATCATTACTTTTTCATGTATATTGATAGTCTTGACCTAGTTTAGTATGTGGGACAAAAAAATTAATAACGTGCAGGAGCAATGTCATGATCGAGATTAACGTAATATTATATACGACGCATGATGTTGAAAAAACATCAGCCAGTTTGCTGCGTCAGATAAAATTAACGGCAATCAGTGTGCTAATTTGTATGCTAATAATTTATATTTTAATCGGAAGAGAAATAAATTTATGAGTTAAGTGTATATATTATATTATATATTAAACATATAGTAATCAATTCATAAAATAATATAAATCTAATATAAAAATTATGAATAAAAGGAATGAGAAAAATAATTTTGATAAAAATGGCTCGTGTCAACGAATGTTTTATAGTAATGTTAATTAATTCTATTCTCCTTTATTCATACTCTTTTTTTGTATTTATTTCTTTTTTATTCTTTTTATCCGTCAACCTTTATCGATAATATATCTTTTGAAAAACATATTAACATCTTGAAGAAGACAAAAGATTTAAATGTGTGACGTATATAGAAGTTACCACGTACTAAACACATAAATAATAATTATTGGGTAATTACATAACCGAAGTAATTCAAATTATCGATATGGATGTCAATATCGATATTAATATGTATCTCAAGAAATATAAAAAGTGTCATCTTATAAATTATTGTTGTAAGATAATAAAGACAAGGTAAGGAGAAATAATTTATACATATTCTGCGTATGAAAAAGACAGGAGATAATTAACATCACCTTCTCGCATGATAACAAAATATATAAGAAGTCACACTTGTATTGTTATTTGTATGATATCAAGATTAGAGTAAAATTCGAAATATCTTACAATCTTGAATCTCTTGTAATCTGAATGATTTCATGTTTCTCATAAATATGGAAAAATTTCTGCAATATCGCGAATATAAAAATGTATTCTTGCATGAATAAATTGGTATAATTGCGTAATGTAACATAAGCATATAAATATTAAAAGAAATGATTAAAGTAAAGAGTAATAAGAGTAAGTAAAGATTAAAGTAAAGAGTAAATTTCAAATTAGTATAATTATCGTTCTGATAATTTTATCATTTTTTTTCTCCATAATACGATCATCATTGTCGCATGTTATTACACGCTGTTGCCATGCATTGCATATCTGATCAAATTTAAATGCGATAAATTTATAACTTCTCTTTTATTTCACATACTTCATTACTTACATAGTTTCGGCATTGTTCTTTTCAAAGCATCAAACAAACAACTTCTTAAACATTTTACTATCACGCAAGAAGATAATATTGATTATCTTCTCTTTCGCACACACATTAAATCCATATATTATTATCTCTCTTTATTTTGCTGCAGTCTTCAAATAGATAGCGTGACGCTATTTGTATCTTTTAAGCCAATTGATATTGTTATCGATAATTTGTATTTTCGTAACAATATACAAATTACGCAACATATTGCGCTTCTAATAATAAAATCACGTCGATCATAATTCGCAATCAGTATCAAGATAATGTTAAAATTGAAATGTCATCTATTTTATATTAAAATCATAATCTCATGTCCATAATAGTAGAGAAGTAGAGAAGGAAATGCTTCAATGATAAGAAAATCTACAGTATAAATGATGTTTATGCACGCATTAATAAAGAAAATTGAGTATTGTAGCTTAATGAATTGTAGTTAAAGTTAAAATTATAAAAAACTTGTATCGTTCTTGCGAAAAAAGATCTTTTCTTTAGAAGAAAAAAAATGGAATATCTTTATGCTCAGTTTCAAGGTATATTTTTATATACATATATGCCATTATTTTTTCTCAATGCATCGTTTTATTATATATATAAATATCGAGCGACCGTGGTCTTTTTCGACGATATTTATGATAGCCATGAATATTAATGAAAAGAATACTTTAACATGTTTAGCATCCAGTTTAATATTTATAACTTTTTTTTCTATATCTGTTATCTATTATTTATATATAGAATTAAATGCTTTTTTTAATTTGCTGTAAATATTTTTTTGTAACTTTTGAACTTTTTAAAAGTAAAAAACATCCAGGATCGCTTCAACGCTTTTGAAATATATATAAATGCAAGCATCGAAACATTATTCTGCTGGTTTTTGTAACTTAAATGATGATTTAACTCTCTTTTGCTAAATTTGGATTTTTATCTCTTTTGGACCTTCGTGTTAAAAATCGTATTTCAGGAAAGAACAAGTTGAAGTATGAAAAATTGTGACATGTTCTTTGGTCAAAAAGAATCACTGATAAAATAGATATTACTGAGAAAATACAATTTCATTCGTTTGCTAGAAACACTTATACTGAAACACTTTTTCGGACCTAATAAAGCAACCTGATGGAAAATGGGTTAGGGAATATTACGAAGTTATTCAAGAATGCCTTTCTCTTTCAAACTGTCGAACCTGTTGCATGCAGACCTTGGTCCTTTGCTACTTCGCCGAAGCTTATCTTCGAGGTCAACAAGTTTGATATCCATGTTATTCTCTTTGGCGTTCGCGTTAGTGTCACATTGTATGCCGCGTGCGTCTAGCATTGTGTTATTAAATTTTAGCTTGCAATTCCGCATCGATATTGTTTAAGTGTCAAGTTCGATGTCATGGGTCGATCGCAATAAAAAAAGATATAAAAAGTGTAAAAAAAATATAAAAAAGAGATGAGTAGATAAAAGGACTAAAAGATTAATTAACATTTAATGTGATGGCACAAAGCGAACATTATCATTATAATAGTGTAGATGACAGTTATAATTTCAGAAAAATCAGAACGATTAAAAAAGAATAATCATCGCGTACGAAAGCAGTTTAAAATTATTTATTAATTATTTAAAATTATTTATGATCGAAACAAAACTATTACTTACCACACGATCTTCTCTTTGTCCGCGATTCTTCCTGATATGCTTCCGCGTCTCGACGCGTTTAAGAATTTCCGTGAACTCCAAACGAAGACGTTTTCACAATTCTTGCACCTCGCTTAAATACTCGAACAACCGACCGACGTGAACTCCTGTTTGAATTAAACGAGGCTGAAGTCGTAAATGAAGGACGCTTCGCGGAGCTATAGAATCGACCGATCGAGTCCGCGAAACGAACGGGCGGACGATGTGTTTAGATCTGTCAGAGCGCACGATGCAATGTGTCTCGCAAAACTGTGGCGAGGTGGCCTCTGCACTCTCCATTACATCCGTCCATTGACTGCCCCTCGCCGACGTATAAGATAATCATTCGTTCTTTATCTTCTTTCTCTCTTCGAAAAGTTAGAAGCTGCAGTGTGTCTTGTAAAACCTGTTCTATATTGTGCTCATCGACTTTTCTTTTACTTAAACCAGGAAGTTAGTGTACATACATGTACACACACACACACACACACACACACACACACACACACACACACACACACACACACACACACACACACACACACACACACACACGTATATACTTTTATTATATATTTGCATTTATTAAGATATTCAATATATGATGGTTCAAGATATGAGAAATAAAATGATAATATGATGTTGCAGACGTACCTGATTAAACTAGTTAAAAAAAAGAATCTAACATGACTGTATTATTTATATATCAATGCATAACAAAAAAATTATATAGAAAAATCATTTTGATGAAAGAAAAAGAAGAATGAAAGAATGGAGCATGAATAATGCAATTTTAACTAAATTACTACTATGCAATTTACTAAATTAATACTATTTTAATAAATTTTAAATTAAACAAAGAATCATTTAGCACATATATATATAGGTTAAAGAAAATTTATTCACATTGGTATAACCAAGAAATTTTGTTTTTTTAAAAAAGGAATATTATATATAAAGATTTATAAAGAATATTAATAATATTAATAGAATTCTTAAAAATGAAGAAAGATTGTAAATTCTAAATTCTTAATAAAAAAAAATTTAACAGTCAATATATACAATATATAATATATACATAACATACATACTTCTATAATCTTAAGTCTTTCTTTAATAAATATATTATATACTATATTATATATATTTCATATAATCATTATACAACTGCTGATGTTATCAGTTTCCCTCAATTTATATAATATCTGTTACATTATTACATAATATTATTACATAATATCTGTTTATCAATCCTTTCAATTCCTTTTTATTACTGCGTGTATTCAGTTCAAATAAGATAGCGAATATAATGAATGTGTTATACATAATGATCGAGCCATTGCAAGGTTATATAATTATATGGAATAATCATGAAGTTTTTTCTTTTCATTAAACTATGATCATTCAATTTTTTTGCTTTCTTGTTATATTAATATCAGAAAACTACAAGGTCATGATATAACTAAATACCTCTAGTACAGTGATGCATTATTAATAGAATAGAATAATGGAGCATTCTCGATTGTCACGATTGATTAACTTTATTCTTTAAATTAATTTTTTTAGAACGAAAATAAATAAGAAAAGAATTTTAGATATTTAATTTCGAAAAAAAGTTTGCTTTAATCTAATCTTTTTAATTAGTCAGTAGTTTATAAAGCTAATGAAATTGCGAATAAGAAAAATTACAATATTGTTATAATAAAATGCCTCATTTTCTATTATCAATCTCTCGCGACTATGACAACAAATGATAAAACTCATTTGACATTATAACATTAAACGTACGTTATCATTGATGTACGTGTCATTAATGAATAATCATCTAGTATTATCATGATTTATTTAATAAATCAATAACAAAGATACAACATAATAATTCAATAATCAAATTGACACACAAATTGGTTGTGTTGCGATGAGCATCTCCATCTAGCATTTATGATTCGAACTTGTCGATTTCTATGGTGTCCCAAGATACATTAGTTGTATCAGTCCCATATCAGCTGTACCAGTTCTCCTGCAACGTAATTAACTGTTGGTTATAATCTTGGACATATGTACAGAATTATCTATTTTTTTAAGTACAATCTGGATTGAACACAATTAAATTAAAACTTTTTATATATTGCAGTTATATATTTAAATTTAAATTAAATCTACATAAAAAATTTACTAATTAAAACATGTTAAAGTAATATTTCATAATTTCTTATATTAATAATAATATAATTGCTGCATTTCTATAATGATTCGATATTTATGGTAACGCAATACTATAGACAATAATTCTTTAATATAAGAATAATTAGACAACAATAACAATATTATATTTAAAAATTTCGAAAAGATTTGTAAATGAATTGAATTATCGATCTTACTTTATTCTTTTCTTCTTTCCCGAATAAACTGCCCTTCACTCATCGCTGGAGGGCGAATAGGGACAGAATTAAAGATGGCGGTACTTTTTCCATTGTTTTATTCTCTAACGGTTTCCCCACCTTCACGGCTTCGATGCTTTTCTTTCAGAAGGTGGATTATATTGGTGGGGACGAAAAATGGCCGAGAATATTTTCAACGGAGATAGAGGCGGCTGTCGCCGTTGTCGAAAAATCTCGCCGAAAAATGTTCTCTAATATGTTATCTCTGAAAAAAAATTATAAATTGCGTTTATAAATTTTATCTACAAAATAGTTATAAGTTTAATTTTTTAATTTTATTAATTTTTTATTAATGTTCAAGTAATTAAGTATTAATTAGTGTAAATAATTTAATTATACAGTATTAGATATTATTTTTTTATTATTAGAGGAAAAAGCTATATTAGAATTAAAATTTTAGATTTTGAAACATATTTTATACAAAATTATCATACATTAAAATATCATCGTTGTGTTTAAATAATTTTTCTTTTTATTCTCCCAGGCGTATTGACCGAACAGCATTGTGGCGTTTTCTACAGGTTCAAGAGGAGAAGTTGTTTTCGAGTTTTTGTTTTTATTGGGTGAGAGAGATGCGGAAGACAGGAGAGAGAAGAGCAAGCTGAGATCAAGGAAATAGGAAGTAAGAATAGATGGGGTATCGGAGGGGAGGAAAGTAAGGGGAGCAAACGCGTGGGCGAGGGAAAAGTTCGTGAGTGGGAAGGAAAGATAAACAAGAGTGAGGCGAAAGAGGGATAAGGTTTAGTAATGCGAGAGATATGCAAGAAATCGCGAGTCGTCTCTGTTTATCTGTTTTCTGCACGAAAACCTTTTTCTTTCTTTTCGCGTCGGAACCAAATGCAAAAAGTTGACTCGTACGAGAACAACGGAGAATATATATAAAAGAGTACCAATCGGCCATGTTCTTTCTTCTGTGTTTCTTTGGAGGTTTTCGTCCGGCATAAATTTTTCCTAAATTTTTCACTCGTACCAAGAGAGCGAGGAATCTTACACAGTACATGTTTTCAAACAATACTTTTTGGAATTTATATTAGATATATATGAAGTATATTTGAGTCTCAAATGACTATTGCATCCATTCCTAATGTTTTATACGAAATGATTATGTCTAAACGCATTTAGTTATCCAACAAGATATTAACAAGTTATTATTGTGTGTTTTATAATTAAATTAATAAATTTGAGTTTTTGTTAGTTTTATTCATTTTATTCGATTATTCGTTTAATTATGAAATTATTAATTCATTAAATAGAAACAAATGTTTACAACTGGACAAACATCTTTAAACGTATTTAATTCTTTAATATGAAATAGTAGTAGCAAGCTACTATTGTGAATTTTTATAATAGCATAAATTTGTTTCCAAAAAGACATCTGAAAACTTGTTAAAAAATAAGCGTTGCAACACTGTTTTCGAAAAAAATACTGCTCTTTGACATCAAAAATAAAAAAGCTTTCTGGCTGGTGATTTTCTTATGAAATCATAACTGATTGCAGCTAGAATTTATCAGTTTAATGTATTACTTAGTTTATGTAATGTATTAATCAGTTTCGTTGCTGAGAAGAGAGAATCATAACAACGATTTTTATTATTCTTTTTACAATTATCAAATTATTAAATAAGAGACGCATTGACGTTAAGTTTATGCGCAACAAAATTCGCTCTATTTGCTTCAGTTTAATTGCTGAGGAAGATGTGAGTTGAGTCATTAACTTGCGACTATAAAATGACCCAACTCACATCTTCTTTAGCAACTAAACTGATTAAATTTTAGCTATAATTAAACTTAGGTTTGCATTTCATAAGAAAATTGCTTTTAATTATTGTCTTCTGTAGCTTAATGAAGATAATATAACGCAAAGTTCAAATGCGTAAAACATCCGAGTCATCAAAGAAAAATCCTAATTGAATTTATCAAATTTGTTTACAAAAGATTTCATATAAAAAATTGGAACCAACTTGTAATTTTATAAAAATGAGAAAAGTAATTTACAAAAATAAAAGTATCAGTCGTTTAAAAACTAATACAAGCTTATAATCAACAAATTCTAACTACTATTGAAAATTAACTTATTTAGTGCTAATTATCTAATTATCTTAATTAAGTTAATTATCAGTAAAAATTAATATAATTATTATACTAAATGAAATTTAATGTGTGAAATAATATAATAATAATGGTTTATTAAATTCTTATTCTTTTTAACTGACAACACTTAACTTTAAAAATAGTTTTAATATTGAGATACATATAACAGCATCATTCTGTATAGTGGTCTCAAAATCAACTAACATACAAATACTTGACACGCCTAGATTGCAAAAAATATTTGCGATCTAGAAGATTAGAAACAATGAAAAAACTTACTACTTAGCACTATTTTATCAAATACAAGGAAAAATTGTTTAAGTTGCTTGATAATTACTT